AAATAAGTCCCAAGTTTATTAAATAAATTGCCCATAAAATTACATAAATATTATTGCGCTAAATACACTCTTTGAACTCTAAAAAGCTATAAGTCGCCGTTTTCTAGTCATCACATTTTTGGTGGTGACTGTGAGATCTAAAAATAACGAAACGACGTTTGCTACCCCCCGATTCAAAAAATTGTGTTAACCCAGACAAGACCTAAATAAACAAAAAACTTACTAAAATCCAATCCAACAAGTTGTAACAGCCCACACTAGAAGGACTTCTTGCACCATTTAGCTCAGCCATCATGAATGCCACCCAGCTTAAAGAACTGATAGAGAACATGACCAAGTCGTTTGAAGACGCAGCCAAGAACATCGTGAAAGGAAATGGGTCTGGGTCCAAAGAAACAAACCATGTGAAGATTAAGAGTTTCGGCAGAAATGAAGATGATGACCCAATAGAATGGTTCGATGATTTTGAGCGTGCTGCGGAAGCCAACAATTGGTCAGACGAAAAGAAGCTCAAGATAGCTTCCGGTTACCTAAAAGGAATGGCTGCTGACTGGTACAAGGACAACAAAGTGAATATCACGGAATGGAAGGACGAGGATGATCAAGACCACAGCTTTTACCACCTGCTAGTTGCCTTCTTTGCCACTCCGGAAAAGCAACACAAGTGGCAGATTCAGTTGAATAGTCTTACCCAGCTTGAAGACGAAAAGGTGGATGCTTATGCAACCAGGTTTAAGAAACTCCAAGCCGGGTAGACTCACAAGACTCGCTACCCGCTCAATACATCGTAAGGATGTTCCTAAGTGGGTTAAAAGGAAAAATGGCGACCTTCGTGGCAGTAACATCCCCGAACGACCTTGGTGAAGCTATCGTGGCAGCAAGAAAAGTCGAGGCGGGCGAATATTATGGCGCCCACGTACACGAAAATTCAGTAACCCCTGATAAAAAAGACGAACTAATTGAGATATTAGTTAAGCAAGTACAGCAACTATCGGTCAACTACGTCACGGCACATAACCAACAAGAAAAGGATACACGTGAAAGAGAAAAGTATCGGGAAAACCCCAAGCCAAGAAGAGAAACCGTCTGCTATAGGTGTGGCGAGAAAGGACATATAGCTCGATTTTGTATGTCGGAGAAGAGACCTAAGGAGCCTAGTGAAGTAGAAAGACCCCCACGGAAAGCGTTAGTAGAGTAAACTACTGCGAAAGTGAGTTATACGCAGTGGACAAAAGAAAGCAGCAAGTACAACCAGACGTCCCAGAGAAAAGACCCAAACTACAACCCGAAGCAAATTGGGAGAATAGACTTCGGCCCCGGGCAGAAAACGAACCGATTATACTAGGTACTGGAGATCAATTACAACCTATGGAAGTGGAAGAAACACGAACAATAAAAAAAATCAGAAGAAAACGAGAACCATCGGTAATTGATAAACTTACCCCTATAATATTGCAGAAGATCTACTAAACACGAGAGCAAACGCCACGTACGGTCAGTTGCTGCAATACTCGAACCAAAGAAGAAACTTGGCGCAAGCACTACGTCGACCGTTTGCAGCCTGAGTACCACAAGAAACCCAAACGACTCAAGAAGCCCAAGAGACTCACGTGGTGAATTTTAGCGATAATCTTAGAACTACCGCTGCCCATTGTTATATCCGGATCAAAGGGAACCCTATACGAGCCGTGTTAGACTCAGGTGCAGCCGTGAGCATAATTACGAAGAAGCTCATGGACAAATTAAAGCTGAAAATTGACAAACCTTCGTCAACAGTAGTAATTACTACCACCGGAACCAGAACCCATGCGTTAGGTCAGATCGAGAACTTGAAAATAGCCATCCAAGATATTCTTCTACCGAGCATGTTCCAGGTGATTGAATCCGCGGATGAGACGTTGTTACTCGGTAACGATTGGTTCCATAGGGCACAGGCCCGTATCCACTTTGACGAACAAAGGTTACTTCTCAAGCACGAAGGCAGAAGAATCGAAGTGCCTATTTCCAATAGTGGAGCAAAAAGTTAGAAGTACCTGAAGAAAAAGAATTACTCGATGATGACAGCGGAGATGAGTTCAAAGAATATATCTACGAAGAAGAAGAATTAGTTGAAGTGGAAGGTTATTATACGGAAGAAGCCAGTGGAGAAGATAACGAGCTGTTTTACAATCCCTGAGAAGAGGTAACAAGCCCGGCAATATACCTGACGGATATTGAAGAAGTACCGATTGAGGGAGACACCGAAACAAAATCTACGGTAGAGGAACAAATAGAAAAATTTCTACGAAACGACGCATTAGACAAAGAGAAGAAAGAAAAGGCGGAAACATTTTTTGAAAAAGAGTGAAACTTGTTTACCAATAATATGTGGGGACTCGGAGAGACCACCGTAGTAAGACACCAAATCGATACTGGCAAGGCGAAACCGATAAAGCAAAGAGCTTACAGAGCGGCGCCAAGCGAGCATGAGTTCATAGAGAAAGAACTCAAAGAAATGGAAGAAAGAGGTTTAATACGAAAGTCTAACAGCCCATAGGCTTCTCCCGTAGTCGTGGTCCCAAAGAAAGGAGGGAAACTACGCCTCTGTATAGATTATAGAAAGTTAAATGAGGTTACTAGAAAGGACGCGTACCCATTGCCAAGGATAGATGACCTATTGGAGAGCTTTAGCGCTGCAAGTTGGTTTTCTAGCTTAAATTTGAAAAGCGGCTATTGGCAAGTAAAAGTTGAAGAGGAAGACAAGAAAAAAACGGCCTTCATCACGCGGAGTGGACTTTACGAGTTCAACGTTATGCCGTTTGGCTTGTTGAACGCGCCAGCCACCTTCTAGCGTCTAATGGACCATGTATTAGAAGAGTATGTCGGTAAGTTCGTCATTGTGTACATCGACGATATTAACATATACTCGAGGACTTTCGACGAACACCTAGGACACCTAAAGAAAGTGTTTGATAAGTTAGCCGAGGCAGGGTTAAAAATCAATGTCGAGAAATGCGACTTTTTTAAACCCACCATCCACTTTCTCGGACATGTAATCGGGAAACACGGAATACAACCCGACGAAAGTAAAGTAGAAAAAGTAAGGAGTTACCCCCTACCTACTACCCTACGACAATTAAGAGGGTTCATCGGCCTCGCATTATATTACCGAAAATTTATACCTGGGTTTGCCACATTAGCAAGACCTCTACACTACTTATTACAAAAGATGTTAGCTTTTGTTGGGGACCGGAGCAACAAAAGGCATTTAAGATATTAAAGAATCACCTGATAACCGCACCCGTTCTTAAGTACCCCGATTTCAACAATATGTTTTACCTGTACACCGATGCATCCGGCACCGGATTAGGAGCTGTTTTGGCCCAGAAAGGAGAAGGCAAGAAGGAACATGTGATTTCCTACGCCAGCCGCAGCTTGTCTAAGGCCGAAAGAAATTACTCAGCATGTGAATTGGAGTGCCTGGCAGTTATTTGGACAGTTGAATATTACCACCATTATTTTGGCTTCAAGCCATTCACGGTTATAACTGACCACGCAGTACTAAAGTGGCTCCATAGTACGAAGCTGAAGGGAAGAAGGGCACGGTGGATACTCCGGTTACAACCGTATAACTATACGATCCAACATAGGTCCGGAAGTACCCACATGAACGCGGATGCATTATCGAGGCTAAATGGGACAGA